CTAAGTATCCCTGATACACTGACACAGAGCAGAATAGGGACTGTTCCCCCTACATAGGGTCACTTGGCAGATATGGATTGACACCTGTCCTCAGAGACCATGATACACACTGACACAGAGCAGAATAGAGACTGTTACCCCTACATAGGGTCACTTGGCAGATATGGATTTACACCTGTCCTCAGAGACCATGATACACACTGACACAAAGCAGAATAGGGACTGTTACCCCTACATAGGGTCACTTGGCAGATATGGATTGACACCTTGTTACAAACTGCTATTTGTAACGGGCCCTTTAAATGGCAAATTGCCCTGTTTCCCTGGGTTGTGGAGAAGCCTCTTTGCCAGCCTCCTCCCGCATGACTATGGCCCCTGGAGATTGTGAAAATGTATGCACTTTTATTTGGTGTGTATGGCCCTTTAAGACTGTCGGTGGGCATATTGGGGCTTATGGACTCTTTATGTGACTAGTGCTGGCCCTTTAAACACCTTTTTTGGGACATCAGGAAGATTGGGACACTGCCCCTTTAAGGCCGTGTCCCCAGACTTGTTGGGGACACTGCCCCTTTAAGACAGTGTCCCCTGTGTCCCCAGACCTGGTGCAAACCCTTTGTGCCTGCCTGGCTAATTCCCACTTGGTTCAGTAAATGGGGCTTACTGAACCAAGTACCACACAGGCAGACCACCCAGAAGTGGAAGTGTGCAGGCAATTTACATCCCAGAAGCTGCGGTTAACCGCAGCTTAATTGACAATGCTGGGAGGTCTTTGTTCGATTGCCGAACACGTGGCGGCGGCCATCTTTGATCATTCGACGAGGTCAGCGGTATGTGCAGCCAAATTCATGGAACTAAAATAGGCTACACATTTCCGCGAACACCGCTGAGCTCTACCTTCTCCCCTACTGGTTTTACAGCTGCAGAGACTAAGTCCCATTCGGCGATGGGACTTAGTCTTTTTTTCAGCCGTTTTTTTCAGCCTTGTTTCAGCTGCAGAGACTAAGTCCCATTCGGCGATGGGACTTAGTCTTTTTTTCAGCCGTTTTTTTCAGCCTTATTTCAGCTGCAGAGACTAAGTCCCATTAGCGATGGGACTTAGTCGTTTTTTCAGCCTGAAATAGACCGACCTCACAGCCCAAATCTATGGAACTGTTTTGGGCAGGAAAATGTGCTTGCAGTCGGTCATAAAGGGACCTACAGCTAACTTTTTAACCCCTGGATGGGTTTGGCTGATTTTTTGGTTATGTTTATGTTTTAAGTGTGCTGATTCCAAATATGTAATTATGAAGATGGGATGTGTAGTTTTAAAGTTACAGGGTATGGCTAAAAACTGTATTTTTACTGCCTGTGTTTAATTATGTTAATCTCTTCCCAAACGTCATTTCGTTCAAAGTGGAGTGAATGTTAAAAATATATATTTTTGTTCGGAGTGTGAGAAATGCTTTTCAGCCGCTTCCAATCTTAAGCATCATTTGAGGAGCCCTACAGGAGAGAAACCTTATTTGTGGTGTGTTTAGTATTGTTCTGATCAGTTTAATACCTTCCGCGTCTCCTATCAGTGGACGTGTATATGGCAGCCATTTTAGGACCCGTACACCTGGGACCCGAGC